ACAGTGAACGGCCCTCATAACAAGCGAGAAGAACCTAACACCAATATTGTGCGACCCCTGAACGATCGGGGGCACCCCGGCAGGCCAACATGTAGGGTCCGGCCGGAGTACAGGATCCCCTGAACAAAAGGCACTAGCCGAAGATCGGTGTAAATGAATTAACGCCTCTGTGTGATCAAGAGTGCCGGGCAGGTTCACAGAGAGAGCTTTGGCAAGTGAAGGGACTTCAGCAAATAAGCTCAAAAAAGGAAAGAGATATAGGTGAATGAAAAACACATTTTCATCATTCGTGGTCGGCCCTGGGCACACAAATTGACTTCTTCATAATGAAATATATTGAGCCATTTCTATCTCACTCCGATCGAAGCACGGAAAAACATGCTGCGCGTCTCCAACGTATCCGGAATCAGTCTGGCATCCGTGACATCCGCACTACGCCAACTCCAGGTTAAAGAGCGCCTTGACGTAAAACACAAATTGATATCACCTCTCTTTTCATTCGCATCAAAAACAAAATTTCGCATTTCCGACTCCCACCCCGTTTATACCGCTAAGTGGTCACCATTTTTGCTGCTGCCAGACGTGTCCAGCTATCCTATACCAAACAAACCATCATCCGCATGGACTCCCTTTACGCGCTGTGTGCCCTCAACACTCAACACAACACATTTTACCCTTTCATTGCCGTAATTCGGAATATTATCCCACCGCTTACACCCAAAGAGAATCTCCAAATGCTTCGAATACACAGCCACGCAAACATTCCTGGCGACGAGACCGCTGGTGGCTTTGCCAGCGACAGCCAGCAATTAACTCTAATAAGTGCGCCTCCTGTTCCTAAACAAGGCGCACTTACATATACAAACTTAAAGTTCCGATGCTCTTTGCAACGTGAATGAGATTTGCAGCTCCACCCACATTTATGCACCATTAAGCCCACTCATCATCATCTAACATCATTAAACATCTTATCAGGGCTCACATTTAAAAGAGATAATCCTAGCACGTCTCGCATTGTTATTATAGTCCTGACTCGTAGCACGTCGTGACGTTATATATATATATATATATATATATATATATATATATATCATACGATATAATACACATAAGGGTGTGCCGTCCTCGTTATCTACCGTTAGTAGGCTAGGCCATGTGATCAGCTGACGCCTGATGACTAATGCAGAGTTTTTGTTTTGACTCCTATGCAGGAGTACAAAATATTGCAGCAATATGTACTAGAATATGATGTATAATTCTATGAAGTGTAACAAATCTAATAGCCAACGACAACGGCATATACGACGTTGGCGGTGTCTTAAGTTATGTTCGACAATTGCGCGTAAAAACACATCGGCGCACATCCGACTGCTGCTCTCAGTCTAAGGTGCCAAGAGGAACCATCATCCTGTCCCTGCCGATTAAGAGTTACGTCCGCGTCAGCGGTGTACGCCCTCCGATAAAATCGGGAAAAACCCCAGAGCAAAAGGGAAGGCACCTGAGCGGTTGAGGGTGCCGCGGCAGACCATCAAAGACGCTCCCGCCATCAGCATAGGGCCCTCAGAACAAGCGAAAAGAACCCCAAAACCAACGTGGTGGGCTCCTGCAAGACTGAGAGTGCCCCGGCAGGCTGACATATGGGACCCCGTCCAGCCCACAGGGCCCTCTGAGCAAAGGGAATTTCCCAATAGCAGTGTGTATGAAATAATGCCCCTGTACGAACAAGAGTGCCCGGGCAGTACACAGAAAGAGTTCTAACAAGAGTGGAATGTCCTCCGCAAATGAGATCGGGGGGATGATGATGAGAATGAGTCCTAGATCTATGCAGAGAACCCCTGATCATCGAGTACTTCGGTGCGTTAATATCCATATATGGGCTTAGCAATAGCACAGGGCCCTCCGAGCAGGCGGAAAGAACCCGTTACCAATATGTAGGGCCCCTGAGCAAACAAGTGCACCCCGGTATAAGGGCCCCCGCAATAGTGTACAGAGCCTTTCGAGTGAATGTAAAGAATCTGTTGAGGACTGTTGATCGATCAAGAGTGCCAAGACATGTTAAAAATGCAAAGAGCCCGAGTGCAACATGGAAGTCTCTTTAGTAATCGAATTGCCCTAGCAAGTGGACATATGAGGACCCCGGCAACAGCGTGGGCCTCTGGACAGCATGATGATCTTCAAAATATTTCCCAATCACCACCCTCTCAATCAGCAAAAAGTTGTTTCTGTATGCTCACGGGCGTTTTACTTTCGCTTGCGAATGTCCTTGGTCGTCTGGAGACCCAAGAACATTAACTTGTATGGCGTTTTGTGTTTAAAAAACCGCGTCTTTTTGGCTGGCTATGGACCCCATCGGGACCCAAGGAGGGATTTGACCCCGGGCCCCCTTCCTCCTTCTGGATCCGCCGCTAGTCCCTCATGCGACTGAGCACTCTACGTTGTTTATGGCGAGACGATGCTACTGATAAGCGCAAGTAGCGTTCGCGACCCTGCTTAAGTCACGTCCATTTAGTTAATAACGTGTTAATATTCAGAGATTTTCAGACTTAATCCGAGCATTTTTAACTGAATGGATTTCTGATCTCAGAGCTCAGAGCTTTTCTGAGCTTGTTGTGTGCGCCCTGACGCCTGCCACTTAAGAAATCTGACCTTTAAAGCTCACCTCTTATTGGCTTACTAGTAGCTTACTTGCGATTGGATATTAAAGAGCGCTGACATGCATAATTCCGTCACAAATGCGTTGGATCTATATCTGGCACGTGACAACAGCCAAGCGCATGCCATGATGCTAAGTATATGCAGCAATATCAGCACGACCTCTAAAACTATCTAACCTCATAAAGATCATCTCAACATATTCAAATCGGATGCTTTATTGGCGGGGCAATGCATGACCACGTTTTTTTATCCCTTATCGTTTTCAACCTTCACGGTGACCTTTAGAGGGCATGTCGCCAAAGATGCATATGCCATATAACACATGACCCCCCCCCCCCGCGCCGTCAAGTCTTGCATGGATTTACGGGCTTAAACTTCACGGACACATCCGCACCGAAACTTGCAAAGCAGGTAGACTAGCCCAGAACTTCCTGAAAGCAACAGTTTGTTGAACCCCTGAACTCATGCTGTTCCTAATGAATATGCACACTTGCCCGATCATAGAATAGTGCTCATGCATATGGAATACTGCTTATCTAGAAAGCTTTCACTCCTTGGTGAATGTTTAACAGAGATAGACTAAACAGGTCACTGGGTTAGAAAACCATAGCTTCACCGAACGTTTGGTGAATTTTTTTAGAGAAAAAATTAAACTGGCGCAACTAACTAAAGCACATGATGCATCATTACAGGGAGTATGCCACCTTCTTGTACTTTTCATTTATTGCATAGATGTGACTCGCACGATATGATCAACAATACCAGTTTTCTCAAAATCCTTCTGAATAGCTCAGAATATCGACCTGAAGGAGCCGTTTCTGCGGGAAAAAATCTCATTGGACATCCTGTTCACTACTATGAAAGTAAAACATTTCATTTGCATTACTGTTCCCAACTTGTATATTCTGTAGTACTTGCAACACACTAATTTCTCAAAATGTTTGTGTTATGAATGCCGCGACAGCTTGAAACACTGCTTAGACAACAATATATGCGAACATGAGGCTATTTTTCCGCGAATTAAACGAAACGCTGTACTATGGCCTTGCTTTTACCCTAATGGCGGTCACCACGGTAACCCTTTTCGAGGCGCGCTTTGGCTGTGGGAACGGGAGCATCACATGCTCCATAGCGACGCACTAGTTCAAACTTCAACCAATGCACTTCATGGTTACAGTTCCTTGCCGCCCGCTATGCCAATCACAATTGTTTTATTCGCACTGGCAGAGGTGCCACGGCGTTTGCTATGACGACGGTGCTCGCGAGAACTGCAGGGAAGAAGCGAAATGCGGTTACAAAGTGTTGACAGCGTAATTTGGACTAGTAATAATTAAAATTGATATGCTCATGATGTCTTGTCGGTGCTGCAGTGACACTACATTGTGGCATTATTAAACTAAGTGGCCATGAAGTTTCACTAGAGTGTGTTTTTGAAATATGACTCAAATGTGTGACACTCCGTAGCCCTAATAATTAACCAGATCTCCAAAGTGCACCTGCGCTGAGCGCTTGAAGACCTTGAAGCTGTGCTCATGCCGAAAGTTTGGAGACCTTGAAGCTGTACTCAATCTAGGGTTGACTTATGCGTGCTCACCTAACCCAGTTTTGGAAAATGCCCGAAAGTAAATTATGTGTATCCCCAGATATCCTGCTTTGGCCGCCCTTCACGTGTTCCCACTTAAGGTCAATGTCACAACATATATTTTAGCGACCATTCTCACTGACATCAGGAGACGCGTCTTTTTGTTGCGTTGGGTGGAATTACCTGCCTACCGCAACTGTGCGCGTGCTCATTGTTTATCGACCTCTCCTGGGTTGATGGATTCATGTCTGTGTGACATACTTCATGCCTCTGTTTAGGCACGTGGTCAGGTATAAGCTCCATGCTTGTATGCTAGAGCTCTGTTAGCATGACGTTAAAGGTTCTGCTGCATCACTGCAACATGGTTTGAATCGCATGACTAGCATTTCGGACGGTGCACAATTCCAGTCACTTCTCGTTCAGACATTAACCCCGGCAGAAGTGTACAGACTGACACGTTTAGGAATCTAGGGCTCTTACAAACTTTTTCCGTCAAGTGTCTAAATCACACTGGTTATCACTCTTCCGAGGCCAAGGAACCCAGTACGGTGTTAGAACCTGTCGTCACGGTGAGTACGTGGCCATTGCCAGGGTTAGATGCCATAGAATACTGTCGGAGTAGCACGGAACGACGCCCATGAAGTTTCCACCGCTTGGCTCGCGGACATTAAGTATGTGAATGAATTGCATCTCTCTCCTAACGTCATATGCCATGGCAAATGCATATTCGTCACACTCGCAGCAAATCAAACTTTGTCTATGGACAGAAATGTATTACAGTTAACAAAGTAGAAAACGATCCATGGTAGCTAACTGACTAGATTATTCCAAATTTCACGACGCGCCCACACACGCAGACAGACCCACTCATTGCACATGGCTCTCTGGGCTCAGCCAGGTCGGCTGACGGCATCGTCACTCCTCATCCACCGCGTGCCAGTGGCGCTGGATATCGGCCGCGGCGCTGCCAGACCTCAGGCCTCGAGCTGCCCTCCCCCCCCCCCCCCCCCACTCCGAGCGAGCGCCGTACTGGCGCTGTCCACTGCGAGACGGAGCGCTACACCGGCGCAGACCAAATCTAGTCACGAGAGCGCCGCTGACGCACGCCAAGTGTAAAACTGAGTACAAAAAGAACCACTGACGATACGCACACACACACGAGGGCGCGCCTCGGACGCACAGTGACGCCACTCCAGGCCGCGCGGAGCCGTGACGCCGCCGCGGGCCACCATCGTGACGTCACTCAGAGCTGCGCCGTGGGCCAGGCGATCTTGGCCTCGAGCCGTTTGTAGGCGAGCATACAGTGCGTTCCGCTGGCGGTCAGCTCCTGCTTGAGCAGCTGCGGACACTCCTGGTCGCCGAGCAGGGTCTCTGTGGAGCCAGGACCGGAGGTGAGCGGCCGACGCCCGACACCCGACACGGGCCGCGCCTCCGCCTGAGACCATCGCCCGACACACAGCCGGCTCTTCCGAGACAGGGCAGCCGCGACGCGGCCGACAGCGGTCCACTGTAGGCGCAGACAACGGCCGACAGCAGTGGACTGCGGCCGCACACACCGGCAGACAGCGGCAGACGGGCGGAAGGCACGTCACGGGACCTTGCGCTCGCCACCCAGTCCGGCACCCACCGTTGCCGTTGATGAGTTTGAAGAGACCGTAATCGATGGGACTGGTGATACGCAGCTTGTTGCCGAGCATCTTGCAGATGTCTCGGGCGCTCGTGTTGGGCCGCGCCGGCAGTGTGCGACTGATGATGGTGCCCTGCTGCTCGTCAGGGATGATGACTCGCAGCAGGCCGTCCACCGAGTCAGCGCCGCTGCACGAGCCAGAACACTGGCGGCACACGCGGGCACATCCCGTTCATGATGAAACTGCAGCCATCACCGGTGCGTGAGTCGAAACAATGAAGACAGATACAGACACAAGCCGGACCAGAGCGGTACATTGTGTCACTACAGCAATCCGAGTATTCATGAACGCCTTCTAATGACTAGCTCGTAATATCTGAAAGTTACGACGACGTTAAGAATGGTGGCGTCCAGCTTTTGCTGGTCGGGTCTGTCCAGCCTGACCTGAGCGGAGCCGGCGCTCCGACGGCTGCCGGTCACGTCTGTCCAGCCTGACCTGAGCAGAGCCGGCGCTCCGGCGGCTGCCGGTCACGTCTGTCCAGCCTGACCTGAGCAGAGCCGGCGCTCCGGCGTCTGCCGGTCACGTCTGTCCAGCCTGACCTGAGCGGAGCCGGCGCTCCGGCGGCTACTCACGTGTGACAGGCTCCTGGTGGACTCGCGCGACCGGTCCTCCAGGTAGTGCTGCAGGTTCTTCAGCACGTGCACGGCCGAGGACAGCATGGTCAGGTAGTAGCCGGCCTCGCCGTTTAGCAACATAGGGTGCAGCAGGCCCCACATGTAGTCGGCCTCAAACTGGGGAGAGGCGACCCCGCCCCGTCACCGGCCAGCAGTCACACCGCCGGCGCTGTCGACCGATGCACGACACTGAGGCGGCTTCAAAACCAGTGAGGGGCTCGGCTTCCACACCAGTGGGGGGCTCAGCCTCCACACCAGTGGGGAGCTCATCCTTCACACCAGTGGGAGACTCATCCTCCACACCAGTGAGGGGCTCATCCTCCACACCAGTGGGGGACTCAGCCTCCACACCAGTGAGGGGCTCGGCTTCCACACCAGTGGGGGACTCAGCCTCCACAGACTCAGCCTCCACACCAGTGAGGGGCTCGGCTTCCACACCAATGGGGGACTCAGCCTCCACAGACTCAGCCTCCACACCAGTGAGGGGCTCAGCAGCCGGCGCTATCCGCTACTGGTTCTCGCATCAAAAGCATGTCGATGGGTCAAAGGCGCGCATAGGCTTTTAATACGTTGATTGACGATGAACAAATGGAAAACCCCTGTCGAAACAATGGCTATGATTAGCTTCGCTCGAGACAGCTTATGCATATCATACGCTAGTGAGAAACTTTGCGAATATGTGCTTTATAGTCCCATACGGAGCATGGCGCCGAATATTCTGCAAATATTAAATACCAACGCCGTCATTTCCTTTCATCATTACATGCATGTCACCGTGGTGTGGGGAGCAATGCCCGTCTCCATACCGAAGATGTGGTGGTGTACTTCTACATTCGTTACACTACCTGCTGTACATTGAGGTTGGTAACATGCCGCTATTCGGGCGCGTGCGTTTTGTTCACTGCCGTACCTCTATGGTGGTGGCGTGGCAGTGAGCGAGCGTGAAGATCAGCAGCGGCAAAAACTCGTCGGCCGGCAGGGAGGCATCTTTGGCGCCGGCGGCGGCGAACAGCGCTGATATCACCGCCAGCAGGTGCTCCAGCTTGTCCAGCGGGCTGATGGCGGCCTGCATCTCAACCGCCGAACGACGAATCATCTCCAGTGCGGCGGCGGACGGCGGCGGACGCTCCGACTTCAGCCCCAGCGAGGACGCCGAGCGGCCGCGAGCGAACTCAAGGTTCTCAGCCAGTCGCTGGACGGCGCCACTGCGGCGCGCATCCTCCGCCGCCAGCTGGCTGATGTGGTCGTACAAGGGTCGCACCAGCAACTCCTCCAGCACACCCTCCAGGATCACGTCCAGGTTCAGGAACTCAGTGGACGACAGCTAAGTAAGGGACAGTACAGAATTACGGTACGCACAAAAACATATTTGATAAATAGCAAGCACGGGCTCAACCCTGACACGTGGCCAACATTTTCCCCAGGGGGCCGAATGCTAAGTATTTTCCAAAAATCCTGCGACTTTGAACCAGATTCCCGTGATACCGCCCAGTGTCTAGTACAGAACTCTTGTGTTAGGGGGAGAGCATGGTCCCCTCAGCCATCCCCTTGTCTACGCCCCTGACCCCACCCGTGGCATTCCAGACCATCACCGGTCACAACTGTGCCCGTTTTCTATGTACAGGCAGTTTCTTTACACAGGAAGGGAATCGCTAAATTCACCAAAACCGTGGCAACACGTTTCGGTACGTGCGTGTCTCCGTAGCATCGTGAGTGCCGGCGCTTACCTTGTCCCTTTCCTGGTTGACGATCTGGTGAAAATCACCCTCGCCATTCTTCACCAAGTAGTTCTTCATGCCGTTGACAAACTGGCGCGTGTTTCTCATGACCACGTGTGGATCGGTCTCCGTCGCCTCCCGTGTGCACTGTCAAGCCCGGGGCAATTTCACGACATGTGGATCAACATGGCATAGGCATCCAGGACGACTGTATTCAAAGAGACGTTATCAGAAGACGCCTTCCAAGCCATGGTCTTAAGTGTTGTAAGTAGGAGCGCTTTAACCCTGATGAGAACAGATTATGTCCCTTCCGGCGCCAGACACTCCGAGCCCGTTTGTAGCCGGTGGCAGGGCGTGATGGAACGTGACAATAACAACATTTTACTGGGTAACACACTCTACAGTGCCCGTAGATTCCCCTGCAGCTAAGAGCCGGCGTGCGCGTGGCGAGCGCGGAGGGCCTGGGATGCCGGTGACCCACCTGCAGAAACTTGAGCACGTTCAACGAGAAGGTGTTGGCGCTGTCGGCCGCCAGCTGCAGCACGTACTGCTTGATGGCGCCACCCGACTGCTGACTCCTCCGGTGAAGGCGGAGGGAGTTCAGCCGAGGAGGAGCTGTCGGACAGATCACGTTCTCACCACTGACGACGGTAGCGGCACGCGGAGAGAGCCGCCCAGTCGTCCACTGCCGCTGGCTGTCTCATCAGCCCCGCACGGCCAAATGTGCTGTGCATCGATCACGATCGGGACAGACCGCGCCCGATCCAGCAGCTGCACGATGGGACGCTATTCGACCCCAACGCGGCAACACGGGCACGACAGCGCGAGTCGAACCACGGGACCACCAGGCACGGAGCCTCAAATAAGCACCGAGCGCTAGCGGGACCTCAGAGCAGCCGGGCAGCCAAGCCTAGCAACCACGCATCCAGAGTGGACGGCACACCGCAGCACCACCGAGACCTGAGCACGAGAGGAGGCCGGGCGGCCAGCCGTGGCCTGACTCACAGTAGAGCGACTCCTGTGGGGCCCGTGGCAGCGGCAGCCGCTGCGGGTACAGCCGGGCGGCCGTGCCCTCCGACGCAGCCGTGTCGTCGTCCGTCATGGCCGCCTCCTGGCACACGTGCACGAACGACTCGGAGTCGGTGAAAAAAGCGGTCGTCGGCGGGCGGCTCGTCGAACTGGCCGGTGCGCAGCCGCATCTGGTCGGTCATTAGTCGCATAATCGACTGCCACTTGGTGGCTTCGGTCGGGTCGTCCTGCGTCGTCGTTGTCGCCGCCGCCGCCGCCGCCGCCGCCGCCGGCTCGCCCGCCGGCCGCACGTTGTCATAGTCGGACGCGTGCGAGTCGGAGGGTTCGGGCGCGGTCGCCGCCGGCGCCGCCATCTGCGTCAAACTCTGCCGCACGTAGGCCTGCACGATACGACTTTCCTCCTCCTTGGAGAAGGCCGGCGGCGCCGCCGCCTCCGACTGCTCCTCTGTTGACTCGGAGAGCCTCAGGGCCGTGTTGCGCGCCTCTGGCGGCGGCCGGCGCAGTTGCACGGCGTCCTCCAGCTCGGCCTCCGTGTCCGCCTCGAAGCCCTCGTTGTCGGCGCCGGCGGACGCCCAGGCGGCGTCGCCACGCCACGGCTGCTGGCGCGAGGCGCGGCGCGGCCGTGACCGGCGAGGCGACTGCACGCGCGGCGGCTGCACGGCCTTGCCACGGCGCGCCGATTCAGCGATGCCATGCGAGCTCTGCGAGCGCGCGCCGGCGCGCAGGCGGCGCGGCGTTCGACGTCAGGTTGTCGACGCTGCTGGAGAGCGGCGGCAGCTCGTCGCTGGAGTCGATGGTTTCGAGCGGCGGCCGGCGGCCGCGGCCCGGCGGCTCCCAGCGGATGTTGGGCTCCGAGTGGCGGTGCGCCGCGCTCCGGTCGAACGGCGCGCGCCGCTGCACGCCCGAGACCGCGTCGCGCACGGCGTCCGCCGGCACCGCGTAGAACGGACTGCCGGCGGCCGGCGAGCGAGGGGCGGCGCCGGCGGGTCGCGACGGGCCGAGCTCGAGGCGCAGCGCCGTCCGGTCGCTGGCGGCGGCCGGCGGCTCGGCAGCGCCGCGAGCGGCGTCGCTCAGGTCATTCATGGAGCGAGCGGCCGTGCGGGGCTTGAACGTGCTCTCCGGCTGCAGTTCGCGCGGTGGCGACGCCCAAATGTCCTCGTAGTCCGAGATCTTGTCGGCCACAGAGCTGCGGCAGTAGCTGGCCGGCAGCTCCAGGATGTCGGCCTCCTGGTAGTGAGTGGAACGCTTCTTGCGGCCGCGCCGGCGGCTGGCGCGCGGCGCGCCCGTCAGCAGCACGTCGTCGTCGCAGGAGGCGGGCGTTGTGACGGGCGAGGCCCGGCTGACGCCAGGCCGCGCCGCCCGGCGCCGGCGCCAACTCGCGTACCGGCGTGTTGGAGGCGCTGCGCACCTGGCGGCCGACGCCCTGGCCGCCGATCAGCATGGTCACCTCACTGCGCACCTGGCCGCCGCCCGTCTGGCTGAAGCTGCTGCCGGCCGGCGGCGTGAGCGAGGGCTTGCACCAGCGTGGCGGCGGGCGCGCGGCGCGGCGCGCGCAACCGGCTCGCCCGGGCTGTCGACGCGGCTCACCAGGCTGGGGACTGAGCAGACTGGCGGCGCCGCTGGCGGCCGGCCGCAGCTGCAGACTGCTGGGCGGCGTGGGGCGACAGTGCGCTGCCGGCCGCCGGCCGCCATCCGCCTCCTGCTCGCTGATGGGCACCAGCGCGAGCGTCACGGGGCTGGCACGGCCCTCGGCCGCGGCGCGCACCGCCAGCCGCTTGCCGAAGGTGGTGAGCGGCGAGTCGACCTGCTGCGGCCCGCTGGAGCTGCCCTGACTCGACTGGCTGGTGAGCGTCTCGGTGTGCGGCGGCTGCAGGGCGCCCGGCGGACTGCCCAGGCTGCCCAGGCTCGATTGGCTGCCGTGGCCGCCGCTCGGCTTGTTGAGGCTGCTCGCCGTCGACGACTGCGTGCTGCCACCCGCGCCTGTGCTGCCACCTGACGGGCTGTTCGCCAAGCGCGACTGCCAGAATTCTGCCGGGAGAGACCAGGATGACCTCACCCAAGGACACGAGTGCAAAGCTATTTATTAGTTGGCTCTAGGCATGCAAATCGTTATCCCTGAGTCAGCAGCACCGCACGCATGAGGTGGCATAAGAGACGTTCCAGTGACACACAGCGTCCCGCTTCCAGATAAACGCGGGGGACGAAACCTCGCAACCTAAAGCCGACGCCCGTGATTCCGGGAAGTGCTCCCACTCATTACCACTCTCAGCTACCGGACCGCACCCACCCGGCGAATGGACGGATCTCTTCTGTGGCCGCAGGACCGGCGACAGGTCGGCGGTACACGCGGACAGCGGCAATAGAACGCGGGACGACCCGGAGGGTCCTAGCAGCGGGTAAACGGATACCGAGTGGATAGCGTGGCGCCGACGAACCGCCGCCGCCCCGTCTCCAACCACCTGAACGTGCGGGCGCGACGGCGGCGCGCGCCTGAGTCAGGAGGCATACGGAGAAGAGCTGAGATAACCACCAGCCGAAACGGCCTGCGCTGGCGGCCAGGTGGCGACCATCCGCCCGGAGGCGTGATAACGGAGCGACGGACGGTGGCTACCGCTGATAACACGGGGAAGCATGCCTGATGGCGAGCCTTGAAAGCACGCGGGGAAAACACAACAGACGATGGTAAGGTTCTACCAGATTTACAAAGTAACCAGTGTGCTCTTCGCCAGCCTCATCCGCAGCGGAGCCGAAGATCGCGCCCGCTTTCATCAGGCTGCCATCACGGGAACGTCATCACCAAGACGTGAGATCATCGGACTCCCGCCGGCGAACTCCCAGCAGGCCCACAATGCTCGCCTGGCGCGGCGCCCGGCCGCGTGAGGGAGCTCCGCGCCGCCGGTGGCGACTCACCTTGTCCGAGCAGGGCGCGCGAGGACAGCTGGTGACGCGACTCGGCCTTCTGCAGACTGTCGGGCAGGCGCAGCTGCACGGCAGCAGTTCGTCGCTGGAAGGTGGCCAGACTGGTGTGAGCGCAGCCAGCGCCGCCTATACGTCAGCCCGGGCGGTAATTACTCACCCACTCACGGCCCTTTGTGGCCCGCTGGCGCCGGCTTAGCCAGAAAATAATCTGTTATGCAAAGTGTCAGGCGATATCATCGCGCTGGGCGCGGGAGGTGGTCGCGTATGAGGCCGGCATGTGCAAGGCTTAACTGCTCTTCATATGGAATGAACGTTTCAGGCCGTGGCATTTGTTTTGAGGGTGGCAACGTCTGGCTGCTGTTGCCATTTGTAAACTTCTCCACCTACTCCTAATTTTCACACAAATGTTTATCTAATAAGGGGATCTCGCAAATGGAAGCCACACCAAACAAATGGAAGTGGCTGAGACGGATATGAGTCACGATCCACAGAGCTGGGTTCAGCGAATAACAGCCACGGCTTCTGCCGATGGGTCGAGATATTCATTGACCTTTAATTGAGTACCAGTATAGGCACACCCCCGCTGCCCCTCCCCCGCCATGTGTCATCAGCTGATCTCCAGCCCACAATGTTTGCCGTCTACAGTTCCAACAAATTGACGTCTGTTTATAAAACACCAGAGTTATGAAGACGGCGCGCCCAGTGGCCGCCGTGTCCTGTCACGCACAGCGCCCGGAGACGCCGGCAGACGTTTGCTGAGGCAGACGGCAGGGGTCTGATGAGGCGCCAGACGGGCGGCTCCAGAGGAGTCCGGTCGGGACGCCCAGACGGGCGGCTCAAAAGGAGACTATCAGGACGGGCAGACGAGCGGCTCCAGAGGAGACCGGTCAGGACACGCAGACAGGCGGCTCCAGAGGAGACCGGTCAGGACGCGCAGACAGATGACTCCGAGGAGACCGATCGTGACGCGCAGACGGCGGCTCCAGAGGAGACCGGTCGGGATGCGAAGACGGGCGGCTCCAGAAGAGACGGTCAGGACGCGCAGACATGCAGCCACCTCCAAAACGACTTCAGACTGGCGATGGGCGGCTACGTCTGGCCACGTCATGGCATAGCGCTCCAGCTTATGCAGATACACCACAGCAGCCGCGGTAAATAACGCCAGTCAGGAATGCGGTCAGTCCGGCACCGCCCGCCCCTAGACCTGGGCGGCGTGAGCAAGCTGCCGTCGGCCCGGCCGCTGACGACGTGCCACCAGCGGCTGCCGTCCGTCAGGCGCCCCGCCGCTCCGTCCCACCGACGACCGACCGCACGCGCCGCAGACACCACGGATGGTACCTGGCCCGTGAGGATCGGCTCAGGCAGCCGTTAGAGAGTGAGGCCCCCGCGTGCGAACGCCGTGGTGCACCAGTTCGGGTGAGGCATAGGCCACATGGCAGCGGCCAGCTCGCTAAGGCTTGTGTCTCCACTGTTACAGTTAGCGGACGGCCCACGTCTCCGCTCTCAGTCTGCGCACGGTCTGCGTCTCACTGGACCTGCCCCGTCTCCTCTGTCACGATCGACCCTGGCTAGAGCCCGTGGCTACCGTTTCCGACACGTCACGCGCCAAATTTAGACGCGCGCCGCAGTCGCGTCAGCGTGAACGCACCGACAACGGCGCGCCACGATGTCGCTCCCAGTGAGGCGCGCCAGCGCAGGCCACAAAGCCACAGCCGTGGTGCTGTGACCCGGGAACTGGTAAGCCAAGCCGTGCTGTGTTCGCCAACTCAAGACAAAAAAGCAGACATGTCCTCCGATGAGCTGCTCGGATTACGAACATGAAAGCTGCACGCATAGTTTGTTCAAACATCACCATCAATGGATTCAACTGAGAGTGTTTACATTTGGCCCTTGCCAAGAGCATGCATGGATTGGGAAAACTAGAAGGTCGACGTCAAGTCAGACAAGATTGGCTTGGCAGCGTCAAAATAATTTCGACCCCGCTGTGAAACTAGGCAAGGGCAGACGTTGGAGCCAGTGCCATCGTTAAGGTATCGCAGCCAAAGCATGAACATCCGGATGACTATCAAACTTAACGTGTGCTACATTAACAAATGGCATTTACAGCTGGCCAACACGACAAAAGGCCAACACAGCACGCGGCATCAGGTTTTCCATGTGATACACCTCTCCAGATCACGACGCGCTCTCCTGCGTCCGGCGCGGCTGCGGTAGCGGAGCGAGTTTTGCGGTCCCGTGCACGCGCGCTCGTGAGCACCAGCTTCACGCCGCCGCGCCACGTTTGGCTCGGCACGTCGCGGCGCGGCGCGCTTGCGTCTCCGGTCCGTCGACGCGACTCGTGCCGCGGCGGGGCGTCTGGCAGATATGCATCTCAGGACGGCCTGTCCGCTGCACGGCAATCGATCAGCACTGCACCGGCTATGGACAGCGTCCGTCAGCACTGCACCGGCTACCGACAGCGTCCGTCCGTCGCGGCATCCCGGTCGCGCCGGCCCGTTCTGTCGAGCACCGCCGCCGCCGCGCCGCCGCACCCGTCCATCGTCGCGGCGGACACGAACGCGAATGACCCGGCACCAGCGACGCCGGTGAACCGCGGTTCAGGTCAGGTCGGGTTCGGCCCATGACACCTCTGGGCAGCGGTGGCGGCAGCGGCACCGCGGCGCCGAGTGAACCGCGGCTCAGGTCAGGTCGGGTTCGGCCCATGACACCTCTGAGCGGGCGCGGCAGCGGCACCGGCGGCGCGAGTGAACCGCGGCTCAGGTCAGGTCGGGTTCGGCCCATGACGCCTCTGAGCGGCGGGCGGGCGGCGGCGGCGGCGGGGCGGCGGCAGCAGCGATCGCAGGCCGCTAACGGACGTCGTTTTTGTGCGCGAGCGTGCGACTCATTACGGTGGGGCCGGCGCCAACAATAGGCGGCCGCCAGCCGGGCGGGTCAGCGCGGCCACCGCCGCCGGCAGGCCTCATCGAGCGGGCCGCCGCCGGCTGGCGAACGGTCCCGACGGCGGCCGGGCGGCCGGGGTCAGCGCACGGCGGGCACGACCGCGCGTGGCCAGAGGATCGGGAGCATCCAGCCACCGTCGCAGAGCTCAGCGGACTGCCGACGCTACCAATGTGTCGTGCGGGTCACTGCTCCCCACGGCCCACCCATGGCAACCGAGCGCACCCACCCATCGCCTGTCGATATCGCCTGCACTGAGGGAAGTCCAGCCTACATGCAGAACCGTGGACGCCGTCCACTTGGTCCGTGAGCGTGACGCTGCGAGGCAGGCGTCCGTGCCTGGTCAGCCAGCGGGCTGCCAGCCGAACCGGAATGCTTCTGAGGGTTCTACGCGAGTGCGGGAGCCATGGACCGGAAAGGAAAACATCCGCTCTGGCACAATGCATTTCGCACACGCACAAACCTGGAGGATAATGTCGGTCACGAGAAATCAACCCCCACTGTGCGAGTCATAGGCTCGACGACGGCGAGGGCGAGAGGGAGCGGGAGAAGTACACGTGCAGCACCATGGACCCACACACATCA